TTAGTAGTAGGGTGGGTGGTGTGTGTGTGTGTGTGTGTGTGTGTGTGTGTGTGTGTGTGTGTGTGTGTGTGTGTGTATGTAGAGAGCTATGACCAGTGGAAATTTCCCTGTGATCCACTGCAGTGCTCCATGTAGAACTGAACATGGTCTGTACGGGGGACTCGGACGAATGATCAGTTAAGTGCTTCCCAGTGGAGTTGGATAGAGGACACCAGGGCCCGATAAAGAGACAGGAAGAAGAGAAAGCAGGGAGGGAGTTCCCTAGGAAAAATTTGCAGAATCCCCTGGAGATGGGGAGGTAGGCTAATCTGGCTGAGGAAAAAAGCTGGGGGAGGGGTAGCGGTGTCTCCTGTGGCTAGCCCTGAGGAGGCAGGGCAGGCAGGCAGCCAAAAGGGAGGAAAAAGCCCTCCGGATTAACAGTTTGGGGAGGCCTTCAGAGGAGAGAGCCCTGTAAGGCACCACTCTGTAAGGGTGGGAAAGGGACTCCACAGGGCCCAAGTAGGGGTGAATCCTTTGCAGAGGGTTACTTTAGATTTTGGAGTCCAAGTTTGAAGAGGAGCCCAGGTGGGGCAGAAGATTGTGTTCATTATTCTTAATTTGTTGGACACTACTAGTTTGGACTTTCAGGATGCTATTGTGCCAATGAAACAAGCCCAGAAGGGTGTTATTGTCATGAGAGAGTTATGGAGTCTCTGTTCAGGAGCTTTAAAGCTGGAGAGTGAGGTGGGACCAGCCAGCAGTGCCATGGATGGCTGCATGAGGTGCCCTGTAGGTGCCAACTTAATTACATGTGGGACAGGGTTGTGCAGCCATAGAGCCTGCTACCTACTTATTCCAAGGGACTCCCTCACCACCACTTGGAAGCATGGTAAAGTCATAACTGTTTCCAGCCCAGCTGTCAAATGTGGCCTTTTAGAGGGGTTCAGTTTCTGAGCATGCCCCTCTGCAGCATGGTGCACCACTGCCATGCCATCCTCAGTGTCCCTGCAGCTTGCTGGAAATAATCTACTCACAGCCACTAGTCTTGAAAACAAGACTCCACCTCTTCTGGGATCCACTTTATTCAGCATGATCCAGCTCCCAAAAGAGCCTCCTTTTTGTTCACCCCTAGGTTTAGGGTTTCCACAGCCCTCCCTTCTGGGATTGCTTGGTTCAAGGCCTGGCCTCCACAGCCCCCAGGCCCGCCCCATTAGTTCAGGGTTTCCACAGCCCTTTATCTTTGTGTTTGTCCTGGCAGAGTCCTCCTCGTAGCGAGCTCTCCCTCATTGGGCTTGGAGCCTCCTTTTTGATTCACACACCTAGTCCTCTTCCCACGTGAGCCTAACAAACACACACCTGTTGGGGCCAGCTGGGAGAGAGAGGAGCCTTGCCCCTCCCACTCTCAAAGGCTCCTTGGTCCAGGCCCTTTAGGGAACAATAGCCTAGCTTTTTCCTATATCTTCCCCCTCCCAGACACAAACTGTTCCCAGGGACCATCTTCCTCTCACCCACTGTCCATTTGAATTATTCTGGACACCTTGAATGGGGTAACTGGCCTCTCAAACTACCTCTTCTTGACTTACAGGCCTGTTCAATGCATTGCCTGACATTTCTCTACTTGAGAGTGAGGGAATTTTAAAGTGGTCATGAGTCCCAAAGACACTTTGCAGCTGTCACCGTGGAGATGCGGAAGGGCCATGTACTATAGTTGGTCAGAAAATAGTTATTTTTCCTGCAGAAAATTTTGACTCTTTGGAAAAAAGTAGGGTGAATATCGGGGGGGAAGGAATAATACTTTGTAAACATGGGATTTTTTCAGTAAAAAACGGTTTAAACTGAAAATGAAGGGGCTTATCAATAGAGGAGAAAAGTCAAGAGGTTCCTAAGCTACAGGTCTCAGGAGGCACCATGGCAGCATTTTCAAAGCAAAATATTTTTGATTTTGGGTGTTCAGTTTTTCAACAAAAAATCAAAATTTTTTGTAGCAAGCTGACACTTCATGAAAAATTTCATTTTGTCAAAAACCCAATTTTCCATCAAAATGTTTTGACATTGACATGTTCAACCCACCCTACATATAATGTAAGTCTCTTCTCTGAGTCTGCCCTTCCAAGTGCTGCTGTCATGGGGTGGAGGATGAGAGCAGGATGTTTCTCTCCAGACCTCGGTCATGAGAACTCTCAAAGCTCCATCAGTAGGAGCAGATGGGGAGGTTCCCTGCATAGCAGCAGACCTGATGGGAGGATGCTCTCCACAGCACCCAAACTCCAGTGGGAGGGAAGAAACTAATCACTTTGTTCCCAGATAATTAAAGCAGTCACGCCACAAGCTTGAGGGTTGAATAGCCTCAGCAGTGAAGAAAGAATATGGAGTTGCGACTCCCATCATTCACATATGTTGTCATCTTCTCCCCTACTCTGGCCTCTCAGTTCCACAAGTTTCTGGTATGGAATTACTCTTCTTCCTTTTGACTTGAAGAACCCAGCTAACTTCTCTTATTATGTATTGGCCTGGCACTTGCCCAGCAGCTGTGGCATTCTGGGGTTAACACTCAGAAGACAGCTAATATTTTAGACTGAATAGAACACTTAGGAGTATCTCCTTGACTTTGTACAGATTGTGCATATGCCTAGGCAAATTGAATACATAGACATTATTTATATAGCTACGCCACTATAAAAAGATAATGTAGGAAATAATGATGCAAGCCCATAAAAGGAAAACAAAGAAAGCAGTTAAAAAAAAAAACCACACACACTGAAGATTGTCTTGCAAGATGAATTTTCTTTTAAAATTTGCATGAGCTTGGTAATGGCTCATTAAGCCTGACCATTAACATTAGTTTGATGAAGCTGGTTTCTAAGTTTCATTTAATCATCCAGCCTTAAAATCTCTGTGGTGTAAAAGTTATCATGAGATGAGCCGGTACTTCTCTTTCTACGACTAATAATAATGGCACTTAACACTTACTGAATATAGAACTTCACAAATGTTAACTGATTAGTCCCCACAGCACCCCAGTGAGGTAGGTAACTAAGCATTAATGAAATGAAGAGAAAGGAAGTATTATTATGATTAAGTGGAATCCTCAAAGCCTTATTCAATTTTTACTCCAAGCCTGATTCCGATCTCATACCTGTGTCATTAAGGAACTACTCCTTCGATATCAGCAGTGTTACATGTGTAACATTGGTGTAATTGACATCAGGATCTCTGTTCTTACTCAGGCAAAACTCTATTGAAGTCAATGGGGCTTCTGCTTAGATAAAGAGTAAGTGTGAACTTCAGGGTTTGGTCTTTTATCAGTAGATGGAGAAACTAAGGAGAAAAAGATGGGGATTTGTGCAATGGCACAGAAGGAGTCATTTTCAGAGTCAATATTAGAATGCAATTCCCAGTACTGTGCTATCATTCAGGAGATAAAATGGGAAATGTAAATAGTTCTTTAAAAGATTGACTTCTTGTATGTCCTTTGAGAGGGGTTTGTTACTATAAGGCTAACACAGATACTGCTGAGAACAAAGCTATTTACCACACTTGTCTATGTATTGCGCAATATTTGTTTCAAATAATGGGTTTGTTGGATCTATTCCTATGTCTAATAATTTTATTTTTGCAATATCAGATTATATGTAGTTCCTATTTTGAATACTGAGTAAAAATTACTAATCTTTTCTTTAGTCTCTTGTGCTGAGATAGATTAAAATATTTGTTTAAAAATTTTTGAGTCAGGAATAATGGTTCCATTGTGTATTAAAGTGTTTCCCAAAGCCCTGCTTTCAGTGAGGAGAGAAACACCTGATTCAGATTCAGATGATCACATTCACAGAGAGTATGTGAGTAGCATCTAGGGAGGTTTTTGAGATTATGATCCTGTGCTTAGCACAATAATGAATTAGTTTTCTATTATTTCTGATTCTCAGTTTGATCTCCGTCATGAGAATTTTAAGTTCTCCTATCTTCCATTCTTATTAGTCTGTGTCATGAGAATGAGTTATTATAGATTTTAATTTGCCTTATATAGATTCCTCTTCTCATTATACATTCTTGTGATAATACCTGTAACAGCAAAAATTGGCACTTTATTAATCTATTCTCATGATAAAGACCTGAGATGAAAAACATGTATAATACAAACAATCAACTCTCTAGACACACTGAAGATTTTAATATGAACAAGAAATAGCACAGTAGTTATCTTTTCTTATGGTAAAGGGCATGAAACACTCTAGACTTGTTCTTGTGATAACCCGAACATTGTAATTTTGTCGTTCATCTTGACCACTGCGGCAGGCAGAGCTGGAAATATTGTATGTAATCTATGGCCTTCCTTAGACAATACATATATAGTTTTAATCTATATAGCCCCTCCGTTTTAGGTGTGTTATGAATTAATTACATTTGAGTTGTATTCTATATCTTTAAGGCTCTAATTTGGGTTTGTTTGTTTTACTGGCCTCCAGCATTGCAGGAGAATGTGTTGATTGGCTGTATAATGTTCTAACAATGAATATCCAAAATACATGAGCATGTACTAGCTTCAGTAGAGATTTACATTCAAGTACCTGAGCATATTTGAATGGAAATTTTAAATGTGGAATGATGGATTCCCCCTAGAACTGTTTCTCACCAAAATTTTATGAAATTGCTTGAGAGTGTCAAAGTACAGAACTGAATTCAAAGGGTAAGTTTTTGATACACTGTCTAGGAATAGCCACACTTCCATTATTATTAATAGTTTATGTTGAAAATATGCCAATAGCAGGAGAGTTGTGGATAACTGAAAAGATAGACTGAAAATGTATCCCGAAGTAATATCATTGTGCTATTTGGCATTCTGCTTAGAAAAAACAAATTTGTTTATATCTCCCCCCCTCCCCCACGTATAGTCTTTGGAAGATCAAGTCTGGGACCTGTTACGTGAAGCAGACAAGACTGCAGAGGAAAACAAAGAGCAAAGCCAAGTGTATGATGCCATGGCCCAGACTCTAGGGGATGCCTGGGATGCCCTCATCATTATGCTAGAGAAGCGAAGAGCACTTCTGAAACTTACTGCAGTATTTTTTGAAAATGCTCTGGAGGTTTGTATTTAAAATGAAATGCTGCTTAATTTGAAACAAATCCCAAATCCTCCAAGAATTTGTTGCATTCTATTTCTGATGATGCAAAGGGCCAATTAATAATAATAATAATAAGAAGAAGAAGAAGAAGAAGAAGAAGAAGAAATCAGCTGCATTCCTGTTTTTGGGTATTCCAGGATGAAAATGAGCAGAACATTTAGAATGAATATCTGTAAAGATGTGATGTCTCTTACTAATGAGTTACTTTAAAAAGTAGTAGTAATGAAAAATTCAAAATTAGTCTGTACCTATATACTGCACTGAGCATGGACATGACCTAATAGATCTCTTTCATTGTCTAAGATTCAAATTATTTGACTCTTTGAGGGCCAAATTCTTAAACCCATGACTCAAGGCTGTGCATTAAAATGTGTGTGTGTAGTTATCATAGTTGTGCTTGCAAATAAGACCATTGCCTGTCTAGCCATCTGAGCACAGACAAATAAGAACCGCATGCGCAAGCATGCAAAAAGCATGCACAGCCGCACAAAACCAGAGTCCAACTCCTGGAAGATAGGAGATTAACAACAATTCTCCCAGTCTTATCCCTCTCCCAGCCTGCCCATGCCCCTGTATGTCCCACCCCTACTAGCTTCTGCACAGGCAGCTCATGCAGGGTACGACTCCAACCCCAGGGGTATGTACACTCCCTGCACAACCCACTGAATTCAACTATCCCTTGCCTTTGCAGAGGAGTGGGCTGGATTTGCCCCAAAAGTGGAGTGCACAATTACATGGGGCTCTCAAGTCTTTGAAACAAAGAGTTTACACATGGCACAAGACCAGGAGTGGGAGAACAAGGGTTGTTTTAATCCACCTTCTTGGACCCCAGATCCTGGGGCTGGTAGAAATTAGAACAGCAGCAGAGCTGAGGCAAATTCTGCTGATTCCCAATAGTATTGACAAGCTATTCCAGCAGCCAGGGATCAGCCAGATGCCCAGGCCAAGTCCTATCATCAAGGAGCCAGGAAGAGATTGGCATAGGAGCCACTATGGTAACTCACTACCTCCATAGTGTTCCCCAATGCAGGGGAAATCCTTAACAGACTGGTTGAGCTGCCTTTTAGGCTGCTCTGTGGGAAAATTTTAGGCCATGGGAAAATATAAAGCAACTGGAGCAGGGCCAATGCTCTGGCCCATTATGTTTAGTCATGCCTAGGTTAGACATAAATGTCAATTGTCCTATAGACTTAAACGACAATACTAGAATTTTATTTTTGAAATGTTTTTCTTGTAATGACAACATGCAATTCTGTGAAATCTTTGCTTTCTTATGATAAAGCACAAATATTATCTCTAGGATATTCTTTAATGAAAATCAAATTCAGATCCCAAATGTTGAAGCATAATGGATTTGTTGTATAGGATAAAGATCATGAGTAAGAGGTTGTAATGTGAGAATAGGCAAGCAAAGCAGAGCTTAATTTTCATATTTTTTAAATATCATCATAGGTTTCAATATCCTTGATGACACTGAAGTCCAAGTGTGAACTTTCATGATTTGGTCTTCCTTAATTTAGCAATCCCGTTACTAGAGATGGCACAAAACTGCAAAATTCAAGTCTAGATTTTGAACAACCCAGTGTTTGATGTGGTCAGGTCTGGGTGCTGGTCACACTTATAGGGATAGAAATCATCTGCAGAATTTAGATTCTGATCTGGGTTTGGATGCTGATCCAAAGTTCAGGGGTGTTTGGAGTCAGGATATAGTAATGGCTCTAATAATTACAACTAAGCATTTATCCCACTGAAGGAACAGTATGACACCAGAACTAAAATATACAATTAACCAAAAGAATAACTTGATGTAAGCTGTAATGTTAATTCACTGTCACAAATCTTTGCTAATGCAGTTAAGGTTGACCAGCAGTGCCTCGTACCCTTCCAGAACATCAAAGGCACCTATACAACCCCCCCAAAATACTAACTTAAAGCACACATCAGCACTTTCTATGGCTTGTCAGCTTGGCTTGAGCAACATCTTCATTCCAATTTTTACCCTAAATAACTTTTTAAATATGACTTCCTGTATCTGAGATCAGCCCTAAGCAGGTGATTTCAGTTTAGAGAAGTTCAGAGTCATAGTTGACCAACTGTGTACAAAAAGTTATAAGAACTGTAAAATGTTGACATCACACTAGGTGGCTCTATCTCCAGAACCCCTAGATCAAATAACCTCAATTTTGGACCATTAACTCTCCCCTGCAGCCCCAGGAGACCCAGCAATTTTCAGGACAATCTGAGAAAGTATTTGGATTTTAGAGCCCTTAGAAAAAACAGCTGTTAAGCAGTAAACTAGTCTCAACCTTAACGATCATGGTGCTATGACCTCACTGTAATTTGCTTATTAATGTTTTATTATAACATTAGTGAGTTTAAATTTACTACCAATTTTTATCTTCAAAAAAATCAGATTGAAGATTGTATCTGCCTCCAAAGTTTTCCCCAAAGATGGCTGGAATTTGGATTTTAATATGCCAGAGAGGATAAGGAAGGGAGCCTTGAATAAAATCTGATTGTGAGGGGGGAAGCTTCATGCAATATCTGATTAGGGGGATTTAAAACAAAAACACACTTTAAAATTCATAGGGGGCCTTTAAGAGCACTTTATCAATGGACTGGAGGCAGAGAAACCATAAGAGAGAAGCAAAGCCTCATAAAAAGACAAACTAATCACAATCCCATCAGAAAACATCCAAGACGACAAGGGATCGATTCAAATCTGAACCTCATGAAAACAGAGGACAAACAGCTGCTCCCCAAAAATGTATACTAGGAAGTTGTAATTGATAGTCACCAGAAATATTTGATACCCTTCTTTGCTAGTCTGAGAATTTGTCCCCAAAGGCATAGGTTAGATGTGCTGTGACATTCTGTACTCTAAGGATTGTTGTATTATGCTTTTTCTCTTTGTATTCCTAATTTAGTTTGCTATTAAAATAGACCAAGTGGAGGATTTCCTTCGGAATGCCCAGGAGTTTGAGAACACTGAATCTTTGAAAAAGCTCCTTCATCAGCATGAGCATCACACAAAAGGTAAGGAATGGATTTTTTTCTTTGGCCAATAGCTCACAGACAGAGTTAGCCAGTTGAATTTCTAGGCTTTGAAAGATATTTTTGGTTTTCCCAAATAAATTCTTCTCTCATGAAATCACGTTTGCTATGGTAATTTCTTTAATTGCAAAGAGAGCTCAGAGTGAGTATTGCTCAGTGCTCGGCAACGTCACACCTGCTAAATACGGATTTGACAAGCATTGTTAATTAATAATGGTTCCCTAAACAACTATTCCTGCTCTCTCTCTTCTCCCCTCTGCTGCCTCCCTATTGTTTCCCTTACTTCCTCTGGCTCCTCTAACTCTTTCCCCTCCTGACTTCCCCACACTACTTCATCCAGCTACCCTTTCCTGTGGGGTGAAAGTGGAGGTGGGGAGCATTCTGGGTGGCTACCAGCTGGCCTGCTATAATCCTGTGCCCCAGGATTGAGCTCTTCTAGAAGGTTGAGGTGGGGAATGACGCATTGGTGCTGATATCTCGTAGCAATCCCCCAGCCTCTTGTGTGTGTACACGGGGGAGTACTGTCTGACATATGCAGCCTCCTACATAACAGTTGAGCTTTTGGAAGTGTATGGGGCAAGAGGAGTGGAGTGGGCTGGGAAATGAGCTACTGCTGGCCTCTAGACAACCTCAGACTCCAGCTGTCTGTATTGGCTTCCCTGGTGTATGCTTCTGGCTTTGTAGAGCTGCACTCTGTATAACTCCCTTGCTGAATTGTCTTGTCCCCATGTGCAGGGAGGTTCCATTAACAGCCTAAAGTGAAGTTACAGGCAGTCAGATGGCAGCCAGGAAATAAAGTCCTCTACCCCACTTCACCTCATGTACTTCTCACTTGCACATCTATGTTTTCTTCATGATACTAGACAAATTTCTACAAGAAATGCAGCAGATGGGTCATTAATCTTAAAATCAAGATCTTTGTGTGAAGCATTTTCTGCCATGCCAACATACTAATCTTTTAAAAGTGGGAGGCAGGTGCCTTCCCACCATCTCAGAATCAATCTCTTTGCACAACTAAGTACAATTGCAATCTATTTTAAAAGACTAATCCCATATAAATCTGTTTTTCCCCCCACAAATCCATACACTCCAGCCATGTAATTTTAACTAAATGTTAATGGAAACCTGTTATAGGAAACCTAACTGGCAGAAAATATAAACTGCAGTTGATTGTTCAGTTGTAGAGTAGCGACTTGAACATTTTTGCATTGTATAAGAAATCTAGCTGCTTCAAATGCTGGCACTCTGAATCAGATGAAATTCTACTCAAGAGACTTTAGTGAATTGAGCTCAGGTAACTTTAATATGGTCTTGGTGGTCCCAATTCAATCTTTATTGAACTGAAGTGCTCATCACACAGCAATTTTAGCTTGGAATATCTGGCAGTGACCGATTGTCATTGCTGAAAAGAGGGTCCATAATTGAAACAATCAAATGAAATTGTTTTCCAGAGGGAAGATAGTCATCCTTCTCAAGCCTCTTACCTATAGGGATAGAAGAGGTAGCAAATGCTCCCTTTCTTCTTTGTTTATATCTTTCCAAAGTGCTAAGAATTTGGAGGATGGATAATCATCATTAATGAAAATCATGTTTGTATTTGTCTCTATGAGAAAGGCACAGCCTACTTACTCAGCAGTAAAGTTGCTGGAAAGAACGGCCTTCTTTACAAAGTGTTGGAGCTACCAGGCTATGGTGATGAGTCTCTTAAGTTTAAAAAGTAAACGTAGCCATGTGCCAGGAGCGCACCTGATTGGGGTGGGGAAATGAGTAACTTTGCTTTGGAATTATCCCTGTTAAATTCCAAGTTTTTATTCTAACATTTATGGAGAAACCTCCTAAGAAACAAAGGGTTGGTCACTTCATCCAAAAGTAGTAGCAGACTCAGGACAGCTTGTGCAAGATGTCATCTTGTAATAAATGTTTTGTGTACTACTGTCCTCTGCTAGATGGATTGTTTCAGACTTGTTCAGATGTCTATTAGAGTTGGTTGGAAATTTTTTGATGAACATCTTTCTGTTGAAAAATGCTGATTGGCCTAAATCAAAACATTCCACAGGTATGTGATGATTTCAGTGCAATACAGATGGAAACAAGGCAGGTTTCCTGATGGCTTGGCAGCCCAAATTTACAGGCTCACAGATCCTTGGTAGCCTCTCAGGTGGCCTGCCAGAATTTCCAGACTCCCAGACACTGGGGCAATCCTTTTAGTGGACTGCTGGGGCTCCAGACAGCTCAGGGAGTCTCAGAAAGATTTTGAAAAGTTCAAAATAAAGTGTCATTTCACCTGTTTTCAAAATAAAATGTTGGAATTTACATTCAATGGAGAATCCTGATTTTTTTTAATTTTTGGATTTTTCCTTGGAATGGGAATTTGTTTCCCGACAGTTCTAGTGCGTATATTGAAGGTTCTTTGGGCTCAGCTAGAGAGTGGAGCTTCTTCATAGCTAACTATGATTGGCCTTGGAAATGCCCGCATATTTCTCTCACCACCTCTACTCTGAGGAACTGGACTCTCAACGAGTCCCCCCTCAAATACACCCATATTAGTGACAAAATCATTTCCATAATACTTAGCCTGTCACTTTGGCCTTGTTCAGACACATTCCAAACCCGTGCTGGCTTCCCCATATGCACTACATCGTAGTCAAAGACAGGAAGCTTGAATTTGAAGCCCTACATAGTCTGACTTCTGTCAGTCTCTCTGCTCTTGTCTCCGTTCATGCTCTGAAGTCTCGCTTTCTGCTTTTCACAAGCTGTATGCATAACTACCCCTGCAGGCACTTTTCCAATGCTCATCTACACATCTTATTGCATGCTCAGTCACCACATCACTCTCTCCTTCAAATCCCTCCTGGAAATACCTTTATTCCAAAAAACCTAAAGCCCTAGTCCTGTCCTCATTGAAATGTCTGCTAAGGGTTCTTGTGCTGCTGGACAATAGAAGAAATGCAGCTAGTGGGTCAGTGAAGTATGCTGATCCAACCTGCCATGTGCGTTGGTGGAGGGCATCGATGGGCAGCGACTCCAGCTACAAATAGTACATATGGATTATAATAGCAGTTGGAGCTAGGTAGTAGAGGTACTCCCAATCAGAGGAAGGATTCTGTCCTTCCCAAACATCTGTATAGTTATTATATACAAAGCCTTTACTTGGGTTTTGTACAGAAGATCAGAATTTCTAGAGGCTTCTGGTCCACAGAGAAAGCAAGATAGGCAGTTGTTATTCTGCTTTGCAGTGGTCTACAGAAACCTCTTAGTCCAAATGAAATAAAAGGAACTAAACCTTGAGAAAGCAGTGCCACTGTTGAGTTTGCAGGCAGCTTTCATATCATAGGTCAGTACAGAGAATGTCACCTATGGAATCAATAACTCATTGTTCCTCACAATATGTTTGCGAGTGCTTTGTCTAATCGAATTATGAGGCCTCCCTCAAGTTTCTTGGAAGACTATTTCAATACAGACAAACTTTACAAAGTGCACTTTCAGGAAGTCATCACCTTTTATTGCATTAATATGGGAGGTGTATGTACATATACACACATTCTCTTATTCTAAAATAAATATACAGAGAGAGAGAGAGAGAGAGAGAGAGAGATGTACCCCCCATATGAATGCAATAAAAGGCAGTGACTTCCAGAAAGTGCTGAGAGAGAGAGGGGGATGTAGGGTTCGAATGGACCTCAAGAGGTCATCTAGCTGAGCTCCCTGAGCTGAGGCAGAACCAAGTATACCTAGATGATCCCTGACCAGTGTTTGTTCAACCTGTTCTTAAAAACCTCCAATGATGGGGATTCCATGACCTCCTTGGAAGCTTGTTCTAATTCTGAACTATCCTTATAGTTAGAAATTTGTTTCTAATATAGAACTTAAATCTCCCTTTTTGTAGATTAAGCTGATTACTTCTCATCCTACCTTCAATGGACAAGATCACCATCCTTTTTATAACAGCTCTTAACATAGGCCTGGTGTACACCTACAACTTATGTCGACCTAGCTACATCACTGAGGGCTGTGAAAAATGTCATACCCTGTGCGATAGTTAGGTTGACCTAACCCTCATTGTAAACACAGCTAGGTCAAAGGAAGAATTCTTCTGTCACCCTAGCCACTGCTGTAGACACAGCTAGGTTGATGGAAGAATTCTTCCATTGACTTAACTACTACATGTGGGAGAGGTGGATTACCTACATTGATGGAAAAACCCCTTCCACCAATGTAGGAAGCATCTACACCACAGCAGCACATCTGTAGCACCATAGCTGTGCTGCTGTAGTATAGACATATCCATATTTAAAGACTTATCAATCAGGTCCCCCCTAAATCTTTTTTTCTCAAGACCTCATAGGTCAGTTTGTCTAGACCTTTGATTACTTTTATTGTTCTCCTCTGGACTCTCCAGTTTGTTCACTTCTTTCTTAAAGTGTTGTGCTCAGAACTGGACACAATACTCCAGCTGGGGCCCCACCAGTGCTGAGAAGAGTGGGACAATTACCTCCCTTGTCTTACATAGAATACTCCCGTGGATTCATCCCAGAATGATATTAGCTTTTTTGCAATTGCATCACATTGTTAACCCCAAAATCCTTTTCAGCCTAACTAGTTATTACCCATTTTGTAGTTGGGGATTTGTTTTTTCCTTCCTGGGTGTAGTATTTTGCACTTGTCTTTATTTAATTTCATCTTGTTCATTTCAGACCAATTCTCCAATTTGCCAAGATCACTTTTCATTTTAATCCTATCCTCCAAATCGATAGCAACCCCTCCAAGCCCCGCGTCATCCACAAATTTTATAATATTCTCCATTCCATTATCCAAGTAGTTACTGAAAATATTTAGTAGTTCCAGACCCAGGACAGATACACACACCCCTGTTTGACAGCAAACCATTGAAAAACCATACATTAAGAGTAGTTATCAATCTAATTTATTCTAGATCACATTTCCTTAGTTTGCTTACAAGAATGTAATGCAGGACTATATCAAAAGCTTTACTAAAATCAAGATATATCCCGTCTACTGCTATCCATTAGGTCAGTAACCCTGTCAAAGAGGAAATTAGGTTGGTTTGGCATGATTTGTTCTTGACAAATCCATGTTGACTGTTACTTACCATCCTATCCATCCTTTAGGTGTTTACAAATTGCTTGTTCCAGTATCTTCCCACAATTAAAGTTACGCTAACTGGTCTAATATTCACTGGGTCTTCCTTTTTCTCCTTTTTAAATATGGGCCCTTCTCCAGTCCCCTGGGAACTCACCTTCATGAGTTATCAAAGATAATCGCCAGTGGTTCCAGGGTTGCTTCAGCTAGTTTCTTAGGTCCCCTACAGTGAGTTTTATCAGACCCTGCTGACTTGAATACATCTAACTTATCTAAACATCCTTTCCCTATTTTGGCTTTTATTCTTTTCCCCCTTATTATTAATATTAATTGTATTGATCATCTGGTCACAATTTACCTTTTTAGTGAAGACTGAAGCAAAACAGGCATTAAATGCCTCACCCTTCTTGATATCATATGTTACTAGCTCTCTTTCCCTGTTAAGTAGAGTACATGTTCCTTCATCTTTCTCTAGTTCCTGAAGTATTTATAGAACCTCCTTGTAGAGGAGCAGACTCACCCCTGCAGCACCTCCTGCTAGTCACTTCTGGGAATTAGCTTTTCCAGCATCCTGGAGCACCCCCTGCAGGCTGGTGATCCGCCTGTCCTCTAGACCCCATGTCCCTCCTGGACCCCAGTGCCCTTTGCTCTGGGTGCTGCCCCCTGGCAGTACCCACACACACTGGGTCTCCCCTCACGGGGGAACCCCCACCCACTAACTCCAACTCAGTATCAGGCCACTGCCAGTCACTATCAAGCCCCTGCTCCCTGGGGTCAACTGCAGTATAGGCCACTCATCACAGGCAAGGTTGGGTTTGGACCTGCTGCCTTGGCCTACCTCTGGGCTGCCCTCTGCAACCCCCAGTACCTTTGGCCCAATGCTAAGGCCATAGCCTGGGGCTTTCCAGGCTGGAGCTCCCCAGCCCTACTCCACTCAGGTACCCTGTAGCCAGGCCCTTCTCTCTCTGAGTGCAGAGAGAGACTGTTTGGACTCCCAGCCTTTTTATACAGGCCAGCTGGGGCCTGATTGGGGCATGGCCCAGCTGTGGCTACTTCCCCAGTCAGCCCAGTAGCTTTTCCCTTTGCCCCAGCCTTCTGCTAGGGCTGTTTTAAACCCCTCAGGCAGGAGCAGGGTAACCACCCCGCTACACTCCTATTATTGCCTTTTATGTCCCTGGCTAGGTGTAACTCATTTTTGTCTTCACCTTTCTGATTTTGTCTGTACATGCGTTTACTATCCTTTTGTACTTATTGTCAGCAATTTATGCATGATTCCTCTTTTTGTAGGATTCCTTTTTGATTTTCAGTTAAAGAGCTCTTGATGAAGCCATATTGATCTCGTACCATTTTTCCACTGTTTAAATATATATATATTTAAATATGCTAAAAGAATGCTTTATAGATTGAGTGTATTGATTAAAATTAGCATGTTTTTTCCTGTGTAATCTTATTCTTACAGAGCTCTTGGAAAAGTCACTGGCCCTTTTAAACAAAAGCCATGAGCTGACTGAATTCATAGAAGAATTCAAATCTGCTGGGCCTAATGTAAACCCTGAGTTGATTCAAGGAGCCCACAGCAGCTGCTTGAAAATTGGCAGTCTCCTTGAACTGCTGCAAGACAGGAGAAGGCAACTGGACAAATATCTGAAACAGCAATGCCAAGGACTAGAGCAGGTTCTGCAAATTTGTCATTGGCATCACCAAGAAAACCAGGTATGATATACAACACTTAGGCTAGCCACAGTAAAATCAGGAAACTGTTATATGTTGTGGGGAGAGTTACAGGAGAAGGGGTTCCAGTGTATTTGGATGATAGTTTGCCTCACTGATTTGTTTACTTTGATTTATATTTTAAGCATGTCTCCCTACACAACCTTATTTCTGGCCTTTCCTAACTTTTTTGGCTGCTTGATTTTGCAACCTAAATGTTCTTTTAATGTAGTTTTTTTTTAAATATAATTTTCTAAGTTTAAAAAAAACTGAACTCCCCCACAGAAATCCTATCATGTGGAATCATAGTGACCCCTATACACATGGGTTATCCGCAGGGTTCAGACCATTAGCTTCACTGCACTTACCTCTATATCATGAGTTAATGGAGCAACTGGTGACTACAGTAGACTGTCATCTTCTTTGTGGATCAATCAATAGAAGGAGAGAGAGAGAGACTTGCCAGTGGTTTCACAGCTATTTGCTAAAAGCAGAGGAATACAGAAAACTTGGGACTCCTCAATTCAGTGCCAGCTTCTGGAGGGGAATGTGTTCTAGTGGTACTCTCCTGTCTCTGTGCACGCTGCCTGTCCCTTTCCCTTCTCTTGCAGTCAACCGCCTCCAGCTCCTATTTCCATCCCCCTCTGCTCTTATCCAACTTCCTCCCCCCCCCACCCCAGTTCTTGCCCTCCTCCCCCTCTGTGTCTATATACACCCAAGCCACTTCCTTTCTGCTCATCCTGCCTCCTCGGCTTCCTCCCCCGTTCTGTTTCTATCCTCCCACCCCTCTGCATTCAAATTAGGCAGGGCCAAGTCCTGCTCAACTCCTGCATCCCTGGGGTGGAGTTCGCTCAGTGAGGATGGAATCTTTGGGCAATGTGGCTGCCAAACTCTAACAAGTCTCTACTGAGTATTCTGCAAGCAGAGTTTTTTAAAGGCTTGGAACTTGGTCAAATTTGGGTGAATTTTCATAGGAAAAGCAAACAACACATCCTGATACCAGAGCAAGCTCCCTGCCAAATTGCAAACCCTTTCTCCAAAGCACAGAGGTGATCGAGCTTCTCAGTAAAACAGTTAAGACTTTTATTTTAAACATGGACAAAAAAAGTATTTTTCCTGAATCTTGTTCCCTGGGCCTGTCTACACAGTGGGGTTTATTTCACACTAACTGCAGTTTTTTCCAGTTAAAATGGGCTCACATTCACCCAATGCGACTCTTTCTGAATCAAGTGGCCAATTAATATGAATTGGATAATCCACTTTGAAAATGGATTAGGTTCATTTCAGAATGAGTTTGTGCAGAAAAAAGAAGCATCTGTATTTCGGATTAACTTTTCAGTCCTCCCACTTGTAGCCCACTCTGCATTGCTTCACACTAGGACTGCCCTGTCTGTTTACCTGTGTGCCCTCTAGTGCTCTGGGGTCAGGTTGGCCAGATGTCACCGCCCTATTTAAATGCTGGCACACAACTAGGAGGTCCCTATTTGCAATTACATGGTACTGGAGCTGTTATATCCTTTTCAGTGTAATCAGCATTGTAGCAGCCATGTCTGGTGGTGCTGCGGTGCAGAAGTCATGGATTTCCTTGCTATCTGGGGTAAGGAGATGGTCCACTCGTGTCTTAACAGCAGCTGCCATAATGCAAAAGTACATGAGCATATAGCAAAGTATATGACCAAGAGAGGTCACTCTCAGGGCACAGCTCAATGCCATTGCAAAGGAAAGGACCTTTGGCAGGCTTATAAAAAAGACCAAGGGCAGAAACAGGACTTCTGGCAGTGCTCCATTACTTTAAGGAGCTGGATTGGATTTTTGTCAGGAAGGCCACCACCGAGCCCCAGTATGTTCTGGAAAGTGCTGAAAGCACCAAAGAGGACCCCGACCAGGACTCTGATGAGGAGATTTCCCCTGAAGGCCAGGGGAAATCTAAGAGCCGGAGCCAGACCCAGAGAAACAGGCAGCACCTGAAACCCAGATGGACTCCCAGCATGATAGTGCTGAGAAGGGGACCTCTGCCAGTAAGTATTATGTGCTACATTACTATAAAACTGTAGAAGTCATTTTAGCAAATGCTTGGCCCAAGTGCCTGACGGACATGGCCATTTTGGGCAAATGTGAGCTAGGAGCCTTTCCGAGCCTGCTCAGCTTTACCCCGGCTCCCAGCATGCTCAAGACGGTGGCCACATGGGGAATTCCAGCTCTGCAGGGATTGGTTCCCTGATATTTTCATTTCCCACTGCCCACTACCAGGCTCGCATCTACCCCCCACAACCTCCCTTCCATTCCCCATGAACCACCACAGGTGAGTGGAACATTTTGTCCCCATTGCCTTGATTAAACCAGTGGTGCCACAGTAGTTTTGTAAAACAACATTGTAGTGTAGCCATGTTTACTGAAACATCAGTTTCAGAAAAAATACGGTATAAAAATACTGTTTTTCACAATGCCCTGAGCTTTCCACTGTCTTAGCATTTTATGAGGTATATTTCCCCAAAACAGAGACACTAAATCACAGAGATTGTAAGGCACTCAGCTAGTTGTAATCAGACTCAACATCATTAAGCCCTCAGGTTCAGAACATACAGCAGAGCGGTACTTATTTAGCAGTGCATTTTGTGTATCGAGTGCAGGTAACAGAAAACAGAATTTAAGGCAAAGATAATGCTGTATTTTGGCACAAACACTGCAAGACACAGCAGCCTTCTCAGGGCTACCTTTGTAGGTAGAGTGGCCCTTCCCATCCTGCAGCACTTCTGGAGGGACCATTCTCGTGAATAACATCACTGCATATCTTCCGTCTGCCTGTTGCCCTTTTGAATAAGCCACTTCACTGCTTCTTGGTGACTCAGATCAGAGGAACATCTTCCAATGTAAGGACTGCCTGCAGAGTTGCCCATGCAATTACTAACCCGCCCTCCTGCAAACCCTCACCCACCCACCTACCTTCTAAGCCCTCCAGCCCATCTAACCCCCCAAATCCTTCTGCCTAACTCAGGTGAAGTCCAAGCCCAAACCTCCAAACCCTGCTGCCAGTCACCAGCCATACACCATACCAGCAGCCTTGGATTAGAACAGGGTTCCTAGGCAAAGAGGAAGTAATGTGGAAATGTCTTAACATTTGCAAGTTGCCCCTAGACTGGGAAGAGATTATGGGAATGGCATTCCAAAACTGAGGAAAGAGTAATTTCATCATTGCTGCCCTGGAGACCTGAATTACTTCAGTAACTGCTTTTTCTGTTTGTCAGCTACCCTGGCTTCTGTACGTGACACCCTGCAGCCACTAAGAACAGAACCCTTATTAACTGCAGAGTGCCTGACTAATCTCCAGGGCAGGAAAAGGAAGACCAAAGATGAAATGTTTGGGTACCTTGAGACAGCATCCTAGAAGAGGGATAAAAAGAGAGGAGTGGAGGGAAGTTCTCCTTGTGTAGAGGCGGAAGAACAGAGAATTGGCAAGAGACCCCATCAAGCATGACATGGACAGGCAGAAACAGCTCCTGAAGCCAATGCAAAACCAGACTGTCTTGATGAAGAACATTTTGGGACAATGTTCTGCCATAGCACCACAACCCCAAGTGCCTTGTTCTGTTCATTCCCCCTAAAGCATCTGGCACCGGCCACTGTCAGAAGATAGGATACTGGGCTAGATGGACCGTTGTTTTGACATAGTATGTCCAGTCATGCCTGTAGCCTATGGAGAACAATGGATATTGGGAGCAGCAGTACATTCTTAATTCTCCTGCTACAGGTAGTTCTCTGAAGACAGTGAATTCTGGGATCCCTCCTTCATCCCTACAATAACAAATTATAGTTTCTTCTGGCACCATTCCGTACAGAGGCAACAGTCAGAAATCCTGCATGTACACATGCTTGTGAGCAGTACAGCACATATATGTGTACTCCACACTGTATGGCATGGGACCACATCTTCACTGTAATCTTGTCTAACGTTTGCACTAGTTTATGTAACAATGGATAAAAGTTTGCACAGTTTTGTTCAATCCATGATTTTTATATTGGCATGATTTAATCAATACAGGTTATTTTTGACAAGATGCACCAGAGTTTCATAAAATACACGTCCCAGAGACCAAATAAAATGTCCTCTCCAAAAATCATTGCACAAAGCATTTTTAAAAAGCAAAATACACTTCTGTTTCACTAAATTCATACACATAGAGTAAAGAAATCCAAGTACAATGTGTAATTAAATTACATTGCCACATTTCAGCTTTTAGCCTCAAAGTAGGAGCATGGGGGATCCTGATCCTATGGCCCTGATGATTTGCTGCAGTTTTCAGAGGAAGCCTTTCTGGCTGATCACAGCATTCAGCAAGTCTCTGCACTTCTGCCCTCTACCAACTGATGAGGCTCTCGCCCTTGCTCTCACAGAAGTTGGGCAAAATACAGCAAGAAGGTATCCCATCAGGTAGATATTTCTCAGCAGCCTCCAGCCTCATCATGAGACAACTCCATCTCCCTTAAAAATGCATACTCCACTGTCATTCTACAGCTGCTCAGGGTCTGTAGTTGAACAGGTCCTTCCTCTTGTCCAAGTGTCCAGTAAATGGCTTCATAAGCCAGGGAAGCAGACAGTAAGCTGTGTCTCATAGAATGACAGAAGGAATGACAGTACCACTTATATCCATAGTAGCCATGGGAGCAAACTTTCCATATTTCATTAAAGACAACAGATGTGAGTTTCAAAAGATCCTAGCAACTTGGACCTTTTCAAGACCACCCCACATTAACACTGATGAATCTTCTAGGGCCTAGAATCTAGGCCTTAGAGCTCCATGGAAATGCACCCCTTTCTGCTGATGAACTCTGAGGCCTGAGGTGTGAGTAAAGAATAGGCACATGGGTTTCATCAATGGCTCCAATACAATTCAGAAATTCCAGCTGTGCAAATCTACCAATAGCCTCCTGTGCTTTGGCAAACGTTGACCCATGCTAGCAGCACCTTTGTAGCAGCACACTGCTCCATGACAACAGCCTGGACA